TAAATGGGTTCTGCCATCCGCCGCATCAACACAAAACATAGGAGACTTTAATGGGAAGGAACTTTAATAAAACTAGGAAACAATACAGGTAAGGCAAAGAGTCTAGTTTCTAAATGAAGCACCCAAAGTTACCCGTCCCCTTGTGGGTAAAAGTCCATCCATATGGGATCGGCCCAGAGCAAGGCCCCAAAGCCTGCCACAAGTCTAAAGCATCTTCCAGTGGGACCCACAGAAAAGGGTCACAAACAATTGGACAAGCCCGGAAGGAAAAGAGCAAAATCAACATCAAGATAAAAGCTGCCATGGTCACCTCCCCACGGGTCTCACCCACATCTGTGTCACCCAGTCCACGACCAAAAGACAAGCGCAGTTTCTTTACGTGTCTCTAGGCTCCATGCGCCTCCTCCAGGTCTCCTTCTGGCTCCATCCTGCTTCCTTCCTCAGTCTCTTCTTGCAGCTTCTTCTCTTCCTGCTCAGCTCCACCCTCCCTTGGGTGGGGCAGGGAACCTCCCCCTTTCCTGGGGACCACCCTGTTGCAGTTTCAGTTAACCACAGCCAAACAGGATTTGAGACTATTATGTATCAAAAGATATTTTTAGAATGAGCTCACATTTATATAGCTTTTATTCTAGAATATTATTCTAATGCTCTACTCTATATAGAGAATATGATTGTATGTTCTCTATTATTATTATTATTAGTTATTTCTGTTCATCTCTTACTGCATCTGATTTATAAATTAAACTCCATCAGAGCTCTGTACTTATAGGAAAAAAACATATATAGGGTTTGGTACTATCTGTGGTTTTAGGCATAACTGGGGGTCAGATACGAAGGGTCCCTGTATTCTGTTTCATCTCTTTCTACGCTAATCTTCATTATTTCTTTCTGCTGGTTTTGTGTTTAGTTTATTTCTGTTTCTCTAGTTTCTTAAGTAGGCTATAGATTTGAGGTCTGTCTTTGTTATTTAATATCGGCCTTTACAGTTATACATTGCTCTGCTTTTGTTGTGTTCTACAAGTTGTGGTATGCTGTGTTTTTTGTTTTGGTCACCTCTATATTTTCTGATTTCCCTCATGACTTCCTCTTTGGCCCCCTGGTTATTAGGGAGGCCACTTCATTTCCATTTGTTTTTGCATTTCCCAAATTTCTTTGTTTTTATTTCTACTTTTGATCCATATACTTTGTATGGTTTTTAGTCTTTATAAGTTGACTGAGAATTGGCTGGTGGCCTCACCGGTGCTCTTTCCTGGACATCAGTCCATGTGCACGTGGGCAGAGGGTGTACCAGCTGTTGCTGGGTGTGTGTTCTGTGCACGTGTCAGCTCTCGTGGGTGTACAGTGCTGCTGAGTCTTCTGCTTCATTGCTGATGCAGATTACATTATTTTCCTTTATTAACTAATTTACTTTTGAGTTACATGTTTCTTGGCTATATTCTCTCTCATAACTGGCAGATTAGTTGCCTGTATAGTTTAATTTTAAATAGTATTTCTTAAGACTTTAATTAAACTCAGACTTTTAATATGAGAAAATTTCTTTAAAAGTCATTAATTAAAGAACCCCAGTCCTGCCTTTGTCTGTGTGAGCCCATAAAGCTGGGACTTGTAGAGGCATCCTTTCTAATGAGCTCCATCCAGTTTTAACCTTCACAATTCATTTTAAGTTGAGAGATACTTGAAATGGTTTAATTAAATCTTTAACTGAGTAGTAATTGATTTATTATTTTGGCCTCCCTTTACCACATGAAGGTTCCTAAATCCTCTGGTTTATTTTATAGTCTTTTAATCTTTCTGGCTCATGTAGGAAGTGGTCTGCAGAGAAGCCTGAAGCCTGCCATTTTTCTCCTCTCTTCCTAACAATGTCTGGCTGTGGTCCCAAAAATGTTGCCCCATGGACCAGGCTCCTTCTCCCTCCTGTGTGTGCAAGTGTGTGTGCATAAGGGAGTGTGTGTATATGTGATTGTATCTGTTAGTGTGCGTGATTGTGCTTATGGGTGAGTTTGCATGTGTGTGAGTGTGTATGTGTGTGTGAACGTGTTTGAGTGTGCATGTTTGTGCATGTGGTCAGTTTGCATGGGTGTGTGCTGGGTGAGTGTGAGTGTATCTGTGAGTGTGTACTCATGCACACAGTCACTTAGCACGTGTGAGTGTGTGTATCTGTGAGCCTGACTGTGCTTCTATGTCAGTCTGCACGTTTGTCATCCCTGTGGAGGCTGGCGGTGGGCTTGCTTGAGGGGGAGTTTAAGTGGGTGTCCTGAGTTGTTTGGCTCCATCTTTTCTTCCCCCTGTCAGGCCTTCAGTAGGAACTGGCTTCCCCTTTCATCTCCTCCTCTCCCCTCCTTCCATTCCTTTAGGCAGTAGCTGGTCGCTGTGTACCTGCCTTGTGCGGGGTGAGATCCCGGGGGCCGGGCTGCTCTGCCTCCTGGCGCTGGGCTGTGCAGCACCCACTGGGGCCCCTCCCCACACCTCCCTCTGCAGGCAGCTCAGGGGGCGGATCACCTGCTGATGGATGCTGGGGGCCACCATCCTCGTTTTCCTGCAGGCGTAGGGTCGAGGCCTGAGGGTGTCCCGCCATGCTGTGATGTTAACCCAGTGGACAGAGGTGTGAGGTTCGTGGCCCTGAGGCAAACAGATCTGGGCCTCCGCAACACACACGTGGGCCCGAGGCTACGAGACTGGGGGAAGGAGGCCGGGCCAGGGTGCAGAGCCCCAGCCCTCAATGGTGCTCAGCAGCTGGTTCTGAACCACACGCCAAGTTACGAGCACCTCTGTGCACCTTGTTTCTTACTGAGGAAATTATGTTTGCTCCATCCATCCCTTAAGTTTTTTATGAGGCTAAGATAATAGCTGACTGGTGCACAAGTAAAGGGCTCCTATTCTTACATTTGTGCTACAATGGGCTTTTCTTTTACACAATTTTTGCATCTTTTGATTGAATTTAAAAACATCTGGTTGATTCTTTCTGTCCCTTGCCAGTTTGGGCCTTGGGGTCTACAGGGGCAGTGTCCTGGCTGTGGGGATGTTGTCCTGAGACTGTGGATTCAGGCCAGGGTTAAGATGCATGTGGCTTTGTTCTTTTTTCCTGTTGGCAACTTGGGCGCCAGGAAATAGTTTATTTTCAAAATGTTCCTTTTCAGTCTTTAAACAACCGGTGGGCGTGTGTTTACCTATCGAGTGTCTGCTCTGTATCCATCTCTGTTCCAGACTCTTCAGGTCCTGAGAGTGAAACCGCCAGCTCAGCCTCAGGGCTTGTAACCATGGTGGCAGGGAGAGACTCATGCTCTCAGGAACCTGTGCCCTCGAGCTTGCACCCACGGCCCAGGGTCAGCCTCAGGGAGGAGGTGTGAGATCTGAGCACACCTGAAATGTTAGGATTGGAAAATGCGGCCTGGGGTCTGGTTGGGGGTGTGGGAGATAGTCACAGGCAAGAGGACAAGTACAGGGAGGAAAAGACAGAGGTGATCTGTGCATGTTTAGGGAGCAGCTGAGAGGTGCTCTGTGAGTGTGTGTGTGTGTGAGTGTGTGTGTGTGTTTGTGTGTGTGTGTGTTACACAGGCATGCATGTGTAGGGTTGAACCAGGTGGAAAAAGGCCTAGAAAGCCAGGCCGCGAGTCTGAGAGTTGTGAACAAAGACTTCAAGAACAATGGTGGGCTCTAGGGGGAGGGGATGGCGGTGGACGAGGCGGGACGCAGAGAGGGCTGGAGCAGAGGACGGGGATCTGGAGACCACGGGCAGGGAGCTGGGTGGCAAAGGTGCCCTGGGGAGGAATGGCGAGGGCACCTGCAGGACAGAGTGCTCAGGGTCCGGGGCAGGCCTAGCGAGGGCCCAGGCTGGAGCAAGAGGGTGGAAGGAAGCACACTCAACGCTTTGACCTCGGCCGCTGCTTTCCCACTTCGCAGATTCTCGGCTCTGCTGTAAAATGTGAGGAGTTGACAGCAGCAGCTCGTTCCCAGTGCTTAAATTATTCCAAGTTCATTTATGAATATTTCATTTTTAGCTAACTAATTGGTCTTGAGGATCTGAATTATGGATGCAGCAAGATGTAAGGCTCACTGCGTCACCGCTGCGCGCGGGGCCTTCCGAGGCGCTCAGGGCCCATTTTCTCCTTCCTCCTTGACAGCCAGACAGCGCTCTGCTCGTCAGTGACTCCCTGGGACTTACCAGTGCCTGCCGCGCTGCTGTCAGCTGGGTGCTCGCGGTATAGAATGTGACCCCTACCCCTACACTGGCTTCGGGGCGCCCCGCTGTGTCCTGGCCACTGGCACTGTGCCCGATGACACACGTCTGCACACCCATGTGGCTGTCAGGTGCTCGGGCACAGCTCTGGGGAAAACATGGGGTCCCCTGCTGCTGTTTGGTGAACCCCAGGTCAAGTACGGGCCCCAGCTTGGCAGAAGCTCTGAAAGGGCCGCCTCTCCCCGTATGTGCCTGCTTCCCTGAGAGGGCACACTCCCCCCAAAGTTGGTTCTTCCGGTCGAGGCCCCACTGGGCGCTTCCCTGCCTGCATCTGCCCCATGGCTTTGCTGGCTGGTCTGGGGTGCAGGGACCCCCTGGAGATGCTCCCAGTGATGGTCGAGGCCCTGTGGCTGGTGCTGTGTGGGGCCAGAACTTGGGCGGGAGCAGGGCGGTGTCTGGAAGATGAAGTGACTGACCAGGTGGCCGGTCCCCCACAGCTCTGAGGACTGGGCTTGAGTGGAGATGGGGCAGGATTTGAGATGGGGGCGCCGGCTGACGCCCAGATTTAAAATCTTCCAGGTTTTCACAAGGGAGCACGTGAGGGGGTGCTGGTGATGCCGCTTCTGAGTCAGAATATTGCAACTTCGGTCACACACACATGCAAAGACGGTAACACTCCAGCGGTCGTTTGCAGCTGTTATTTTTTTCTCGTAAAACGTGAAGCCGACCACGTTCTCACAAGGAAGTTGCATGCCTGCCCCCCTCCCCCAGCACCCTTCCTCCCCCCCAGTGACTGCCTGGTGTCCGCTTGTGTCCCCGGCAGAGTTTGCGGTCATGAAGCGGAAGCGAGGCCGGCCCAAGGGGTCCACCAAGAAGGCCAGCGCGGAGGAGGAGCAGGTGGCCAGTGCGGCCCGGGCCAGCGAGGACGGCGCCCCGGCCCCGGCGGAGGCGAGCAGCCCGGCCCCAAACAGCCTGGCCTGCGGCAGGTGCGGCCGCAAGTTCTCCAACGCGCGCCAGCTGCGCAAGCACATCTGCGTGGTGGTGCTGGACTCTGCCGAGGAGGACGGCGACGCAGGTCAGTGCCACACTGGTGGGCGACGGCGCGGGCCCAGCCGAGCCTCGGCTCTCGGGAAAGCGCAGCTTTGGCAAGACAGCCACTGAACTCGGGGTTCAGGCACCTGCCGGTCGGGGCCTTGCACTGTTGCGTGCACGTCTTGGGGTAATCAGTAGTTACTTTGGGGGTGCAGCGTGGGGAGACACATTGTCTCCCCTTGGTGTGCTTACATTCTGGGTGAGATAATTGGGTTTTAAAATGCACAACGGCGAAGCACCATAAACGGGCAGCCCCGGAGAGCACCCCGTGGGAGGTCAGGCGCGCCCGCTGTGGGTTTGAGTGGCATTGGGAGGCCAGGCATTGGTCTGCGTGGATGGATGGCCTGGAGGGCAGAGGTGCCCAGCGCCCCTGGGAAGGACTGTGCCGCACGTCAGTGTTGGGGACTAGACCCTGTCACAGTAGCTCCCACCCAGTCCCCAATTCCATGATTTTGTCATTTAGAGAATCTTATATCAGATGAAGCGCGCAGCATTTGACCCTTCTGAGGTTGACTTTTTAGACCCAATTTCATCATTTCATAATTGAGGAAGTGGAGGTCCAGAAGGGAGGAGACCCCAAGCCACACAGCGCACTGAGGTGGGGCTGGCGTCACTCCCTCCCCTCACCGCACCCGTGCCTGCCCGCTCTGCCTGGACTGGTTTGCGCCTTAAAGCCAGTCCCTGTCGACTTCACAGAAGTAGTTTTGTTCTTCAGCGCGTCTCTCTCAGCTCCCTCTCTAGCCTTATAAGGATGCAGGTCCCCCGCTGCCCGGTTCTCCATGTTTATTTTCTCCTCTGTAATTAATTAGGCCGCCTCCCCAGCCATGCAGACAGATCCAGTCCTTTCTAATAAGATTACCAGCTTCCTCCTGTCACAGGCTGCATAGAAAATGGCCTCCTAGTCCATTGATTTGAATGACCTACATGGACTTTAATTGAACAAATATCAGACGGAAAGGTAGGAGCGTGGGCCTTTTTCCCTTTCTGGCCCCTGGTGAAGCCTCTAAAATATGCAGACGTGACCTTCGCCCCGCTGCCTGGTGGCTGACACCCCTGATGGCGCCCCACTTCCTGGTCTGCCAAGCACAGCAGCGCAATTTGGGAAATTCTTGCATAATTGTTTTAATCTGAGTTCTGTAAAGAGCAGTTTAGTGACATTTCAAACAATTGACCTTGACTCTGTAGCTTGTTAAAACAATTAGATGGAAATGAAATAAGCTTTTTCCCTGCACTGAACCATGGCAAGGTAAAATAACAATTTTGATATGTATTCAACATTTATTTATTTTATTCTGCATTTGAACAGTAAAAGGAACCAGGAATGGGGGTTTTTAAATGCCATTATGTGGAGCAGCTGGTGTTTTTGAGCAATATGTCTCAGCCTACAGAAACCAATACGCCACGTCTCAGAAGTGGCTTCTGAACCTTGCGGGGCTCGTCATTTCTGGGGTCATTTTGTGCATAGGAGTCGCAAGAATGTGCTCTTACTTGGTGAGTCCTTCCGAAAGAAGACGAGGCATTTATGTGCAGATCTTACCTGAGATGAACCTATAGTCTTCGCGACGCCTCATGTCAGCAGAACAGCTGGCGGGCTCAGAGCTGCCTGGAGAGTGTGGAGCCACCTTTGGAATTGCGGGTGGGGAGGCAGGTGGAGAGGCGGGTGGAGAGGTGTGGCGAGGTCCTCGGGAACAGCTCTTTGCTCTGGGGAGAGGTGCCGGGTCTGCCTCTTTGTGCCTTTGTAAGCTGCCTTTTATCTGTGCTCCGGCCGGGTGGGTGGGAAGCTGGGGTCCCCTGATACAGCCGTGTCCCACCCCACTGACATAGAGGTGCTTGGGGATTGTGGGGGGTTCCCTGGTGCAGTTGCTAGTCCCTTTCTGTGATCTCTCCTCTGTGCTCCCCTCCCGCCTCTCAGCTGCTCCACTGGCCTGCTTGCTGCCACCTGCCACCTATCCCCTAGGAGCCCCGGCTCCGTCACTCTGTGGAGGCAGGTCCTGCCCCGTTCACAAACCCCTCCCATTGCAGGCCTGACACAGCCGCACTTGCTGTCTTGAGGGCACCATGCTTCCCTGTGGGACCTCTGGGGGCTCTGCTGCCTCGGGGACCTGGGCTGAGCTCAGCTGGGCACCCTGCAGGCGGGAAGGGGAGCCCCGAGGGGTTTCATCTTGGCCAGAGTTGACATTGGTCATTCCTGTCCACGAACGTCATTGGCCAGAACTGACCTCATCCCCCTTTCACTTCGGGGGGGCCAGCGCCACCCCCGTGTTGGGGGAGGACTGGTGACGTGGGGCTGTCGTGTGGCTCCTCGCCATTTCCATGGATGCACCTGCTGAGCATTCAGAGGCCCAGAGTCTGCCAGACCCGCCCTCAGGCTTGAGCCCGCTGTCCAGGCCGGGAGTCTCACAGGCTCTGCTGCGGGGCGTGTTCCCCACCAGGTTCGTTTAGCTGCTCCTCCCTGTGGTCTGATGTGTCGCCAGAGCCTCTCCCTCACCTGCCACCCTATCTCCTGCCCTGCTTCTTCCACCTTTCCTGCTCGGTGCTCCCTAACCCTCTGGCTGCCTCTGCTGCCCTCCTGTGGGCCCTGCCGCCGGCTCTCCCACCAGCTGTCTGCAAACACCCTCCCTTGAGACCTCTCTTTACTGATAAGCGGCATTTAAAAAATTTAATAATTGTCCACAGAGTTCTTGCCGTGGGCCTACCTTTATCATGAGCGTCTTACAAATATTAAATCATTTCCTGCTCAGAAACCCTGTGAGGTAGTTTTTACCCCATTTCACAGCGCAGGGAACGAGGCGAGCAGCCCTGTGGTGTGGCCATGGTGAGTGGTGGTCCCCGGGTGCAGTCAGGCCTCCTGGCTCATGTACGCCTGCTGCTGTGCCCATGTTACAGCCCTCATAAATAAATACATTCCAGACGGTTGAGGTGAGGAAGCGAGGAGGAATCTGTTTCCTGCCCCCAGTTCAGAGGGTGGTCTTAGGCTTGCCGGGTGCGTGGCTTCGCTTTGGCCAGCACGGATCCCCACCCTGGTTCCATGTTCCTCAAGTGCAAGCAGGGCCTGTCCCTTCCTGCCTGGACTTGGGGGTTTGGCAGCCAGCCTGGGGCAGAGCTGGTTCCGCTGGAGCCGGGCCACGGAGCAGCCCGTGGTGTCTTGTTCAGTGGCTGCCTTGGTCGCAGCAGGCAGGGCTTGAGGGGGGAGGAGGAGCCTGGACTCTGGACTGTGCTCTGAGGAACAGGTCTTCCTGAGACAGCGGTGGCCCTGCGGTCGGACTCCATCCACCTTGACCATCCTGGAGAAGTTCTGGAATGGCAGGTCCAGGCCACAGCCCCGCAGCCTTCAGAGTGGCCTGGCTTCACCAGGCCCACTGTGCCTGGTGCATCCTCGCTGCCCGGGAGGCTTCCCCTTGCCTGCCGAGCTGGTGCCACTGAGGGTGCTAAGCAGACTTGGGGGAGCAAAATTGAGCAAGATGAGTCTCCCCATGAGCAGCTGAAGTGTCTGGTGGGGAGGACAGAGACATGAGTAGGTGACGAGATGGAGAGGGGCAGCCAGCGCAGAGGGGGGCAGGAGGACCACACATCTGTGGGGTGCATCCTGGTGGCTTCCTGGGAGGGGTCATGAACTCTCGCTCAAGGGTGACTTGGCACGGGGGCACTGGGAGGCATCACCTTGCCATGTCCCTGACAAAGGCTGCAGGTGTGGGACTGCTGAAGGGTTCACTACAATAACCCTGTAGCAAGAATGGGGGTCCTGGCAAGGCAGAGACCTGTTCCCCTCGTGTGCGCATATCTCAGGCAGGTGCTCACCTGGCTTCCCTCCCAGCAAGAGAGCCTGAGGCGGAAGTGTGGAGGCAGGAAGGCGAAGGCAGGGGAGATGCACGTTCAGCAGCTGGACGGAGCCGGCGAGGCCCTAGTCTGTCCCTTGAACTGCTGTGTTAGCGCGGCTGGCGGCAGAGCCCCAGGGTGAATCCCTTACCAGCCGGCTGTTCTGACGACTGTTCTGGGCTTCTTATTAATGTGGCTGATAACACTTCCTCTCTGGGGTATTCTGAGATTTAATTAGTTCTTGGGCAATTTAGAATAGGTCCTTCGGATGTTAGTGGTAACGCTGAGTGAGTGAATGCTGCGAGCTCGTTTCTCCAAATGTAGGATTGAGTGGGGTTAGCTCTTCCGTGCTTGCCTGTCATTGCATGGCGGGTCTCTGTGAAGGCCTGGGGGGGCATCAGTCCCACCCGCTGAGGGTGTGGGGCCAGGACATGGGGCTTCACATCCCCAGAGGGGCTCCTCAGGGGAGGAGGGGAGGGCAGGCAGAGAGTAGGGAGACTGGGGGTAAAAGGCACTCGCTTGAGAGATTTTGTGACGGTGGCTTGGCTTTTTCGGTAAGGTCAGAGAAGGTCCTCAGAGTTGAGGCTGTGCGTGTGTGTGTGTTGTGTGTGTGTGTGTGTGACCATGTGCACGCACGTGTGTATGTGCCCGAGTGGCCATACACTCAGTGTATGCGCGGCGGCACCAGCCTCCTCCCCATGTCCACACCAACCACATGCGCCAGAGGGCTCCTCGGACCCGAGCGAATGTCACTCCCCTACCATCCTGCATCCCCAGTGTCCGTGTGTGCTCACCGGTATGTGGACATGGGTGCGGGCGTGTGCACACAGTTGGGGCGGAGTAAAATGGGAATATTTGCAAGCCCCTGCTGTGGCTCATTCATTCCTCCTTGACTGAGCAGCAGCTTTGATCGAGCACCTTCTGTTTGAAACCAGGCACGTGGTGGCGGCTGCGTGTCCGCGTCAGGTGAGCGGAGTCCATGCTGTAGCGTTGCTCAGACTTTGGGGCTGGGCGGAAGTGGCCAGCTCCCCGCGGGAGCGTGATGAGCACCAGTAGAGCTTCTGCCAGGTCCTGAGGCCGTGCGGGGAAGGAGCCCGGGAGCAGGTGGGGAGGGTCTGCAGCGGCAGGCTCGGGGGGTGAGTGGGGATGAGTGGGGTGGACGTGGCGTCAGGGGCGGGTGAGGGGAGCGGGGAGCGGATGCAGGATGGTAGGGGAGTCACATTTGCTCTGGTCCGGGGAGCCCTCTGGCGCCTGTGGCTGGTGTGGAAATGGGGGAGGAGGCTGGTGCCGCTGGCTGCAGTGGGTGCAGGATGAGGGTGGGGGCGCTGGAGGGGCATGTTGTGACTTCCTAGAACACGGGGGACGCTGCATTCACGCTCATTGCCCTGAAAGTGGGGCACAGCTTGGTCTGCTCCTTAAGCCCTGTGGCCTCCAGTTTTGTAATTGGATCTGCTCTCCCCGCTTGAGGCTCTGCTGTGGGGTGGGGGTGGGGGTGGGGGGGGTGGGGGGGTTGGGGAGTGGTGTCTCAGCACTGTAGGGTGCATGTGTGGGGACACAGGCTCTGCTGGGGGGGTCTCAGCACCATGGGGGGGCACACGTGTGAGGGCACAGGCTTGGCTGTAGGGGGACTCTCCATACCATGGGGTGCACCCCCACCTGTGAACATCTGCTTCCCTTTCTAGGGATCACCTTCCACATTTTGCAGTATCTCTACTTTTTGAAAGTGTTGTTTTAAAAGGAAATGAAATACAAAGAGTTATGATAATGTTTTGGGGCTGAGGAGCAATAATGCACAGATGTTGAGAAATTAAAAGTCACAGTTCCCAGAACGCCAGTTCTTTGGCTGAGGGTAGGGTGGGGGCCCCCTGCAGCTCCTGGATGAGCACGAACCGAAGGCAGCGGTGACCCCAGGCTCAGCCCCCAGCTGGGAGTGCACGTGCATCCTCAGGCTGACGCCACCAGACCCGCTGCCAGCCGCCACTTTTAAGCAGCCGGGGTCCCCGACTTCCCACAGGCCTTCACTGTCCTCTAGACTCCGCTGGCTTCATCCTGACCTCCCTCTTCATGAGGGAGGCCGCCCAGGACGAGTGGCTGCATTTCACCCCTGTCTCCGTCCTCCTCTGAGTCGCCTCCTGGGCCGACCCCGCCATTACCCTGCTCCCCTGTGTTACGTGTTCCTACCTCCCAGACCGAGGCACAAACCCTTGCTTTTTAAATTCATGTCCCGTTGTTTCCCTGGAGAGCCTCTCTGACCTCTCAGTGGCGTCTGCCTCCTTCCTGAAGCCCAGCAACGGGCCTCGGCGGCCCCTGCTGGCATGTCTGGCCCTGCCCCAGGCGCAGGGTGTGCAGGGCGGGCCTGGGCCTTCTCAGCTTCCCAGCCCATGCCTGGTGCGCCGAGGGCACCTGTGAACGCGACTGAGCCTCTTCCTCGGCGCTGGGGCCTGGAGCCCTTCTCCGCTGGGCTGCTGGTGCCTCCGAAGACTGCCAGGCCCCTGAAATAAGATGGGGTTCTGCTGCTATATCGACAGTGGGTACGCAGGGGTCGGGCCTGTGGCTGGGGCGCAGGGGATATTTATGGAATCTCACGAAAGGCTGGAGCCTGAGACGGGCCGACGTGACAGACCTGCCTGCGGGGCGCGGTGGATCAACGCGGTGGAGCAATGCGGCTGCCACGGGTATTGTCTCCTTTACTGCCGTGAAAGGGCTGCGCTCCCTCCCAGCTCTCCCGCGGCCAGGAAAGGGTGTTTGATACCCTTGCTGTTTGCTCCTCAGGTAACGAGTCCGACCTGGAGCTGGAGAGGAGGTGTAAGGAAGACGAGCGGGACAAGGCCCCGAAGAGGCCGCGGACCCAGAGAGCCGAGAAAGCCCAGAAGGTCTCCTCGGGCAAGGAGGCTGGGCAGATTTCTGGCGCCAAGAAACCCATCATAAGTGTGGTTCTCACGGCTCACGAGGCCATCCCAGGTGAGCATGGTGAGCGGAGATGGCGGCGGGCCGTGGCGTGTGCTGCATGGGCCCTTGGCCCCGGAGCCCCAGCTTCCCCCAACAGGCTCCCCTCCAGGGCCTGAGATGCGGGTGCCGGCACATCTGCCGGGGCCGCCTGGGGGTGCGGGCAGAGGAAGGGTGTTGGGGGCTGCTCCTGCTGGGCCAACACCACCCCTCCAGCAGCCTGTTACCTTCCCAGTAGCCAGCAGGGGGCGTGGGGGGGGGCCGAGGACGGTGCGGCTTCTCTTGGCCCCGTACCTGGCCCTATCCTGGGTCTGCTCCCCCTACGACCGAGCTTGGCCGTGCTGCTCTGTGTGACTCGCACCCCCTCTGCCTGGACGAGGTGGCTGCGCCTCCAGCACCCAGCAGGCGGTGTGTCCCCGCTACCCGGCGTCTTTTTGCATTTTGAATGTGTTGCCTCCAGTATTAGGTAACAGTGGAGACCTCATCTCCCCTTTCTTCTACATGAAGCAGCGAGGGTGTGTCATACATCTTTTAAAAAACGTCTCTTCTATGAAGGGAGCCTTTAGATAAGAAGGAGTGTATGATGGTAGATCCCCAAGTGTAATAATGGGCCTTCTCCCTCCATTTGGGATGATCGCTGTCGGTGAATTGAAAAGTCAAGTTTAGGATTTTAAGAACAGCTACAGCCTTAGTAGTAACTCATTATTTACGAGGGAAATGCACTTCAGTGCAGAGTAAGGTGATGCGCAGAGAAGAGCCACATAAAATGATGTGACTGGCAGAAGTTTCTGGAAAATCGCCTTGTCTGCGTCAGCCTGCTTCAGGGTGTGAGGAAATGAGAATGGCAGGAGAGCGTCCTCTTCTCAGCCAACTCTAGACGCAGTGGTTTCTTAAACAAGGGCTGGAGGGAGCGTTCCCCTCAGTGCACCTTGCACACGAGCGTGCACACACACAGAAAGTGCCGCTACTGGAAAGGCCTCGGCCGTCGTGCACCGTGGAATGGCACAAGGGAAGCTGACCTTTGAGGTGTCCCCCACAAACCCTTATTTCATAGGTCGGAAACAGGCCCCAAGCTGGTAAGATCACGTCCTCACGGACTGGACTCCCGGACTCTTCAGTTCCTGCCGACAGTCGATTCTGCTACTTGATTTTATTTTGGTGGTTTTACATTTATTTCTTGACACCTGTGGTTCTATGTAAAATCTTATAAGTAAATATATATCTGCCCATCTGTCTGTCTCCTTAAATATTTTTGTCTTTTAATAAGTAAAGTGAAAATGTACCTCAGAAGGACATTCTGATTAATTATTGGAAAACCTGCCCGATCCCCCCCAAACACACACTCTCTCACCCCCCTCCCTTGCCACTGATGGCTTGGGGCACCCTAATGAGGACAGGCATTGCCAGGGCGGCCCCGTGCGGGGTGGGTCTGGCCCTTGGCTGCCTCTTTCACATTCCGTGGTTGTGCCTCCATCCCAGGTGCAACCAAGATTGTTCCAGTGGAGGCCGGGCCTCCGGAAACGGGAGCAGCAAACCCCGAGGCCCCTGCGGCGGACCTGGCTCCGCGGAGGGGCTACCAGGAGTACGCCATTCAGCAGACACCGTACGAGCAGCCCATGAAGTCCAGCAGGTGAGTGTCTGGGGGCTCCAGCAGCGGCCGGCAGTGACCGCCTGAGGGCGAGGGGACCAGTGAGTTGCTTATTAGCAGGACACTGTGTGCAAAGTTATCTGTGAGGATATTGATGGTGTGATTTAACCTGAGAACCAGCCCACACGGCTCCCCCTCCACTATCACCACCTCCAGCCCCTGAGCCGCAGCCACACCCCGCTCGGTGGGGGAGGAAAGGGTCAGTCGAGGACAGTGCAGGTGGGGCTCCGCCTCCTAGCCCAGGCCCTCTGTCTTGGCAAACATGAGCAGCTGAGTCCATCAAGGAAGTTATGAAGATACTCATTCCTTTGGCAAAGCTGTGACGGAATTAAATTTGAAGATTATTCTCGTCTCAACTCAGGTTGATTTGAAGCCTTTAGCTAATTACATTCACCACATTTCAAGGGGTGCTGGGCAAAGTCCCAGCTGAACACTCATCTCCATCCAGGTAAATACGCTCAATATTTAATCAGGAGATCTAGGCTCTATCCCGTGGGCCATGCATTCTGTTAGTGTTTTGTAGTGTCAACTCTAAAGTAACTGTGAAAGACTCTCTCTGCATGAGGATTTTGCTTTGTAAAATATAACTGCCCTGTTAGGCTATATCAATACATCGATTAGGTTGTATCTGCCAGGTTCTTACATAAATATGGTGCAGACTATTAATATACAAAATGTTGGAAGTCCAGAATATTCTAAGAAAAAAATCCTTTGTAATCTTATTACCTGAAGATAACCATTGTTAATATTATTTTTTAAAGATTTATTTATGCATAGAAGGACTGGGGTGTAGGTGGGGGTGTGTGTGTCTATGTGTGTGTGTGAGAGAGAGATTGAGTGTGAGAGAGAGAGGATTCACCAGAGACAGAGTGGGGAACAGAACAGGCAGATCTACTGAAATCCACTGCTGAGGGGAGCAGTGGGGAGACAGGAGAGGTCTGCTGTGCCATGTGGGTCAGCTCCCTGGCCAGGTTTTAAACTCCCATTGAGGTGGTAGTGCTGAGACTTAACCCCTAGGCCAGCAGGGAGGCCTCACTGTTAATATTTTTAATAAATTTCCTTTCCAGCCTTTTTTTCAGCCCATATATTTTGTAAATTGAATTTATATTTTATATGCAGCTTTGTGTCTTGATTTTAGTCCTTCATCACATTACACTTACTTTCCTTTGCTACTCCAATTAACCACGGGCCTGGCTTGTGGTGCTATCCTGAGGAAGTGCTGCCAGCCTCCCATCCATTTTGCATGTCTGCAAAATGCCCACTTGGTTGTTACCCATTAATGGTTCAAGTGGCTCCTGGGAGAACGTGTCTGCGGGGTGTCCCAAGACTGCCCCTCCAGCTGTTCCCCCCAATGCTTCCTTTGGGCCTTGGGCTCCAGCCCCGCTCCACTGGTTCTTTCTATGTCCCTGATCGCACCTTGCAGGATGGGATTTCCTCCTCCGGGCCACCGCCCTCCCCTTGGCTTCTTAAGTGCCATTGTTCACCCGGCAGCTTCCTGCTCTTAAGCATTATGGGAAACCCTGCAATCAGATTGCACCTTCGTTCGAATTCCACATTCTTTCTTCTGGATACATGCCCAGAAGTGGGATAACTGGATCCAGGACCTGACCTTTTGCCCCCTGCCTGATGCTTTCTGCAGCGCAGGGGCGAGCGTGCCCTGACTGGTTAGGGACCCTCTGGAGCGGAAGCGCTGGCTGGAGGTTTGTGGACTTGGTGGCCTGTGCCTGGTCCGCCTTCTGCCAGAGGCAGTGGCAGGCCGCTGCATGTCTTCATCGGATCCACCCCCCGCAAGAAGCAAGCACCAAGGGCTCTGCCAGGTATTTGTCTAATAATACAAGAAGTCAGAACAAAAGATTCTCGAAAGACCATTTAGATTTTGCATCAGAGGGGGAATACCATGATTTGTGTATTTAATTAACATCGTGAATCCAGGGTTTCTTCCTTCTGTGTTCTCTATACAATAAAATGTATCACCGCCTGGATATCTTTATCACTTGAGAAAGATCCAAATTAATTTCCTTAAATTAGCCTTGGGTGTCGCATGCCGGCATACTAGTAACTTTCTCAGAATATCTTAATTACATCATGCGAATCGTACCCTCTGGTGCTTATCGACCACGATCACTTAAAATTTTTAATTTAAAGACAAGGCGACCTGCGTGGCTCGGAAGTGGTGTGAGACTGGCCCACCGATGTGGGCTTCGCAGGCCCAGCCAGGGGCTGTCTCATTGGCAGCATGAGGGGTGTGTTTCCAGGGACCTTCCCGGTAACCTGGACATGCGGCCCGGGGGTGGGCGAGGCAGGAGGGGAAGCCTCCTGCTCCCGCCCTGCCTGCAGGTGCTGTCCCCGGCGGCTGTCCGTGGGAACACTCATCCAACACGGTGCCTGCCACACGTTGACAAGTGCTAATAAATGACAGTCATTTATTAACAAATGATGTGTGAGGTTAATAAGTGACAGTCGAACAGCAGCCTTGGGTCCCCTGTCTGAATCTAAACCAGAGAGAGGAGGGAGCAAAACTCAGCTGCGTCACTGGCAGCGCTGTGGGGGTGGGGCTGGGTCTGAGTCAGACCTGGCCTCCTGCCCCTCCCCACATCCTTGACCGAGGCCCTCCAGGCCCCCGTGCTCCTGTGGCCAGGTGCGGCCGTATCGCCTGCTGTCCACGGGCAGGTGCAGTTCACCAGCAAGGACAGGCAGGGCCACCTCGTGAAAGCTAGATCCCATTCCCCGCTCACGCTGAGACACATCCGTTCACGCCTCCTGGGAAGAGGGGAGGACAAGGGCCGGGCCAGGGCTGGCCGTCCCAGGAAGCTCGCAGCAAAGGGCAATGTCAGCCCTGACAGTTGAATGAATGAGTGAACCAGCAGGCTGGTTCATTCCACTGAGGCTGGCTCCTCTCGAACATCCCAGAGACATGCAGGCCAGCCCTGGGACACAGCTGCTTATGGGTGACATGGCAAAGGGCACCCCTTTGTCCCCTGCTTCTCGCTTGCCTCTTTTTCCCTTTCTCGGTGAGCTTCACTTCACGCATCTCTTCAGCAGCTCTTCCCGACTGTCGTCAGCCGGGTGAGAGGCCTGCCAACACTTTCCACGCTACAAGCAGCTGCTGCCGCCCTGTCTCCTTGTCCCTAGAGCGAGCTGGACTGGGAATTCGTGAGCAGCCGACACCCTTGCGTCTGCCTGTGTCGGAGACCACATGAGGTCTCTGGTCCTGCCACCCCTGCTTAGCCTCATTTAGCTCCCCCTGGAGCCTGTGGTGCTTGGTCCCCAGGGGAAACTAGAGGCCATCGGAAGGTGCAGCCCCCAAGCCTAACGGTGCTGTCATCTGTTTGCAGGCTCGGCCCCACCCAGCTCAAGATCTTCACGTGTGAGTACTGCAACAAGGTCTTCAAGTTCAAGCACTCGCTGCAGGCCCACCTGCGCATCCACACCAACGAGAAGCCCTACAAGTGCTCCCAGTGCAGCTACGCCAGCGCCATCAAGGCCAACCTCAACGTGCACCTGCGCAAGCACACGGGCGAGAAGTTCGCCTGCGACTACTGCGCCTTCACCTGCCTGAGCAAGGGCCACCTCAAGGTGCACGTCGAGCGGGTGCACAAGAAGATCAAGCAGCACTGCCGCTTCTGCAAGAAGAAGTACTCGGACGTCAAGAACCTCATCAAGCACATCCGGGACACGCACGACCCGCAGGACCCCAAGGTGCAGGAGGCGCTGCACGAGCTGTGCCTGATGACGCGGGAGGGCAAGCGGCAGCTGCTGTACGACTGCCACATCTGCGAGCGCAAGTTCAAGAACGAGCTGGACCGCGACCGCCACATGCTGGTGCACGGCGACAAGTGGCCCTTTGCCTGCGAACTCTGTGGCCACGGGGCCACCAAGTACCAGGCGCTGGAGCTGCACGTCAGGAAGCACCCCTTCGTGTACGTCTGCGCCCTCTGCCGCAAGAAGTTCGTCAGCTCCATCCGGCTGCGTGCCCACATCAGGGAGGCGCACGGGGCCGCCCAGGAGAGCCTGGTCTTCACCAGCTCCATCAACCAGAGCTTCTGCCTCCTGGAGCCCGGGGGGGACATCCAGCAGGAAGCCCTGGGGGGCCAGCTGCAGCTGGCAGAAGAGGAGTTTGTCTTCCAGGGCGTCAACGCTCCCAAAGACACATCCTGCCGGGGGGAGGCACAGCCTGAGGCGGGACCGAAGGAGCCAGAGGCCTCTGCGGACGTGCCCATCCAGGCCATGCCTGTAGCCAGCCCCCAGGCCCAGGCCGAAAGTGCCCCCTTGCCCCCCAGCGAGCTGGAAGCCACTGTGGTCTCTGCTCAGCTTCACCCACACACGGTGGCTTCAGAAGCGTTTTTGTTAAAAAAGGGTGCTCCCTCTCCAGAGGCCCACGCGCCTCCCGAGGGCACGCTGGACACCCCACGTGGAGAAACTGCCGACACTCCAGGCGAAGAGGTCACGCTGCTGCTGTCCCAGGCCCCAGGCCAGGCAGCACACCCAGAGGCCCCCGGAGCCCAGAGCCCGCCAGGGGCCGGGCAGGACGTGGCTGCCTCCCCGTCCCGGGGCCCTGATCCCAGTGGGTGTCTTAGGTCGGCCCCGGCTGAGGCCTTAGACCTTCCTCCGGTGGCTGGTGGCCGGGACCTGGCCTTGAGCCAGTCTGACTCTTGCGCCCCCACCCCCGAGCCCCGGGCCGGCATCCCCGCCTTCATGCAGATCCTGGACAGCTTACACAAGAGGCGGATGAACACTGACTTGTGCGAGCGGATCCGGAAGGTGTACGGGGACCTGGAGTGTGAATACTGTGGTAAGGGGCAGCTCGGGCCTGCAGCTGGTGGGTGCGCCCTCCCAGCAGCGCATCCGACCCCACCTGGCTGTGGGTCACCTGGTGCTTGATTTGAGCTCATGTCTCTTTGCAAAGAACTCCTCCTAAGCGAGCTGTCCTTCCTCCACGGTAGATAGCAGTGAATGGGTGGCCTACCTGTGGCCGGTTAGCACGTGGAGCCCGAAGGCAGCCGGACGGCTGGACAGTTAGCCGTGTTGGCTGGGTCAGGCGTGCTCACTGGGGCGCGCCCCGCGGCCTCCGCCAGAACTGTGACCCTGGAGAGTCTTTCTTCTGGTCCATGCGAGTTTAAAGTAGAGCTTTAGGTTGTGGCCGTGCGCTTCGTATGCAGAGAGGTTTCAGAAGTGGCAGCAGCTCTTGTAGGGACGCCCCTGAATAGAACTTCCAGCCCCCAGGGCAGCATGACCCCAGACTTCCCGGAGAGCTGGCAGCACAGCAGTGGGTGTCCCGGGCGAGAAAGGCCGTAGAGGCTCACTCGTGCATGCGCGGGACGGTATTTGCACCGTGACTGGTCCTCCGTAAACATGCGTCTCCCCTCCTAGCTCTGACAGCCTGCAAAAAGAGTAGCACCCTTAAGATTTGCAAATTCCCACCTCTGAGAAGTAATTTCCAGGCAGAAATGTGGTGCAAAGCATGGAGGGTGACCCGGACAGGCACGAGGGGGAGATACATGTAGTCGTTAGAAATAAGAATAATTAAAAAAAAAAAAAATCAGATTCAGCATAAAAGAAACTTCCTTGTTCTCATGTGAAAATATTTTTTTAGGCAAACTTTTTTGGTACCAAGTGCACTTTGACATGCATGTGCGCACCCACACCCGGGAACACCTGTATTATTGCTCCCAGTGCCATTACTCTTCCATCACCAAAAACTGCCTTAAACGCCATGTAATTCAGAAACACAGTAACATCTTGCTGAAGTGCCCCACTGCTGGCTGTGACTACTCGACTCCAGATAAATATAAGCTGCAGGCACATCTCAAAGTTCACACTGAGCTGGTAAGTAGCACGCCCGAGCGGCAGCCCCGTCCCCCTGGGTGCTCCTTGCTTTCTCACATCGGTGCATACGTAGATTTCCCCGCTGCCTGTAGACCCGGAATGGAGACATCCCTCTCACCTTCCAAGCCCCCTGGTGCCAGGCTGCTGTCACGGAGGGTCCCACATTTGAACACGTTTGCTTTCCCTGCAGAGGAAAGCGCCCCGGAGTGGGAATCCAACACACATTTCCTAAGTGACATTTCCAGGAGTTATTAACAACAGGGATGATGATAATAGCTGCCACTGAATGTCACCGAGCGATGACCGCAGACCTTGCCCGTAGAGCACCAGGCATGGCGTGTGCGTCACGGCTAAGGCACAGTCAGTGCCCAAGACCCCAGGTCGTTGATTGCCTTTGGGACGCGCTCTCCTTGAGAGGATGTCTCGGAGGCACTTGCATTTTCAAACCGTGACTTGTTCACTGAGGGCGCTGTTGATAGTCGCCCTGGCGAGGGGTGTTTCCTTCTTTGGCGGGAGATCATGTAGCACAATGACGGCATGTTTACTTTTGCACATTCTAATCTGTCTCTCGAGGCTGCACCTGAGAGTGCGCCAAGACAGTGAAAGCAGGCACACCTGGCCCCAGCTGCGCTTCTGTCTTAATTGCATCTCTGTTTATGCCACAGACGGCACACAAGGCGGCTTTAGAACTTGATGTGCTTCCACTGTCTTCTGGCATAAAAATCGCTAACGCTGCAGGGGTTGGTTGCTCGGGGGAGTCAGCGTTTGAGCTTAGTGGGGAGGGGAGAGTGTGTGCTCTGATGCCTGCATTCAAGCACCGTCTCCAGCGCGCACAGTGCGACCCTAGGAACGTCATTTGTCCTTTCTGAGACTCAGTCATCTTGTGTGTAAGTTAAGAATTCAGATGTTTTGACACATTCACATACACCCACGTATACACTCCTGCATGCACAGACACTGCACACAGACACACCCACACGTGTACATGTGAGCATACACACCTGCACGCCCATAAACATCTACCCCTGTGCCCGTCTATTTGCACATGTGAAGGGATCACCCAGGGTTGCTTTTGGGACGTGAAATGGAATGCTCTAGGTGTGGGAGGTGCCCCTGCCTGTCCAGCTGCTGTGTGCGGCTGTGGGTAGCACGCCATGCATCTGTGTCTGTCTGAGCAGGGCTTGAGATGTGCTTATCCTGTTTCCTGCAGCTTTTCTGCTAGGTTGGCATTGCTTCTGGTACTGCCTTAGGGCAGGGAATCCCGAGGTGGCAGAAGTCACGTAGGGTGACTTTGCTAGAAACCCCTGTGCAGTGAGGAGTGGCGCAGCAGGAGAGCAGGGTTCTGGGGAAGCCTTGCAGGCTTGCAGTTAAGGCCTTAAAGCAAACTGGTTTTAGCCCTGGCTGCCCATTTACCAAGGTGAGTCCTTTAGCATCCTGGCCTCAGTTTACCCCTCCTGGTGAGGATGATGTGGGAATATGCACAGCTCCGCGCCTGGCCTGGAGGAAGCATGGTTCTTACCCTTTGTTCCGCTTCCCATTGGACCTTGTGGCTCTGGGCTGAGAGAGCTTGGAACACAGCCAAGGACCAGCCCGCCCAGGAGGCCGTAAAAGAGCGTGGCCTCCAGGCTGGCTGTGTCTTTCGAACCCCCTCTTACTTGCCCCTGAGTGTATCAGCGCCCTGGGGGTCAGCGCAGCCATTTCTAACCTCTGGATGCTGGTGCCTGGCCTCCTGCCCAGTCCCTGGGGCTCTGGGTGAACAGGGACCTCGGGCACACATTCTAAGTTATTCCACCCCCAGCGTAACCAGCTTTCATTTTTCTTGATAAAGTGGCATTTAACGAAACTTCTTTTTTCAAGTTTCTGTGGTTCTAGTTCTTTCTTTGAAGAGACTAGACTTTCTCTTCTCAAGCCCGCAGCGGGCATAAGGGGCAGTGATAGTTGCTGTTCTCACCCTGCGGCCCAGGCCCTCTTAATCCCACTTAATCCTCCCATCTCAGAGGTGAGGCGTCTCCTTGGGCTGATGAGCAAGGAGCCTCCTGCAGCTGGTTCCTCCCGCACACAGGCGTTGGGGACGCCAGGCATGCGTGTCCCCGTCACTGCCCTGTCGGCCACTGCGAGGTGGTTGTGCGTGTCAGCCACACGTGCTTTGTGCCAATAAGGCTCTTGGAGGCTGGCGCACCCTTGCGGGGGGCGGTGCTCGGTGGCCTTGCAGGGCTGTGCGGCCTCTGAAGTCACTCCCAGAGCAAAGCAGGGGCTGAAGTGGGGGGTGTGACTGCATTGACCTAAGAAAAGGAGGTTGCTCTGACGCTTACTAACACATTTTCCTAGAAGTTGTTGAAGTTTAATCTCAGCCCTTCCCTTGCTAGTATTTGCAGTTTTTCCCTTTGAGGCACTTTAGAGGTGACTCTGAAGTTCGTGAGTCGGCTGGAGGCTGCACTCTCCACGTGCCAGGTGCTCAGTATGGGTGAGACCTGGCTCTGCCCTCAGAGGACGAGCCCCCGCAGGTGCTGACACGTGCGGTCAGCTCTGACTCTGCCCCTCCTGAGGGGTCCGACTTCGCACACTAGCCTCTGACCCCCGTCTGTAAAGTGGGGACAACATCCCTGTCTCCAGGTCCACTGTGGGGTTTGGTGAGATGCCGCCGCAGGGCCAGGTGTGCAGGGAGAGGTGGCCCACGTGCTCATCCTCCCCGGTATGATGGCGAGAGGAGAGGGGGGGCGGGCGCAGGCGCGGCTGGCCTGGGCCGTGAGCGTGTCCACAGATGTTTGCAGTGAGTGCCTGGCCCCGCCTGGAGAAGCCGCGGCCTGTGCTGTGTATGAAGATGTACACGTTGACCACGCGTCTCCACGCGCCTGCTGGTGGGGAGTGCGAATGACGCACGGAACGTGGCGCCTGCTGCAAGTGATCTCATTATGTATGTTTAAGTTGAGGAAAATGATACTGACGTAAAATGCCCTTGCCGTAAGGTTTTTCCTTTCCAAGAGCTCCGCGATCGTGGTCTCTCCTGACTCAAGCCAGACCCCTTGTTCGTGGGCCGCCCTGTTGAGGTGTTTGTCCAAATCCAGAGACCGGGGCCACCAGCGCTTCCTGTGAGCAAGACCAGGCTTCCGAGCTGGGGCCTGGCGTGATCAGATGAGCCTGCTGTCCAGGCTGGGAGCCAGGGAGCCGTGCCTGAGGCTGGCCCGCCCCGAGCTAAGCGTACCTCCCCGTTCTCACCGCCCTGCATGTCCGGATGCGGCTTGGACTCTGTGAGTGGGCTTGTCTCTTCTCCACCAGCTCTTGAGCCCTTAGGACGGTGCCACGTCTCACCCCATCGTCCCGAGTGCAGAGCCCCGCACAGACAGCGGCCCTGGAAGGTTCTGGGTGCGCGAGAGCCATGGAACGTCGCAGGTTGCATCTCCACGGTCTCTTATCCCCAAGGAATTGTTCAGAGTGGGGTGCCCCACCTTGTTGCTTCAACCTGATAGTACCTGTGTTCCAAAATACACGTGGTGGGCAAGAGAGCTCATCTCCCCACCCACTGCTAGTTGCAGGCTCGAGGACCGTCCAGTTGCTGGGTGACCAGGTCACCTGCCACAGAGCAGCAGGCCGGGTCAGGTGCACCCTGGGAGGGGAGCAGGAGCCCCCCTCAGTCTGGGCTGCTGCTGCCCCTGAGAACTCCTTCCCAAGGGTCCTGTGTCCCAAACAAGCTGGGGGGGTGCTGTGCTCTTTCACTGTTGCTGGACTGGGTCTCCCCGGCCTCTGTGAGGGCTTTTCAGCCGCCGCTCCTTCTGAGTGTGCGTGCCGGCTGGGTTTTCATCTCCAGCATGGAGCTGAGGGTTTAGAAGAGAAAGGAATGAGTCTAAGAGTGTGCCCTCTCCTCCTTCCCACCGCTGCTGTCCTTCTGCCAATCTTCAAAGGCATCAAGGAACGAGAGGCCCAGATAAGCCCCAAGATAAATTGCTTTCAGACTATCAGAGATTAAAAGAAAAAAAAATCAAATAGCAAGAGCTCAGAGGAGATCACCGTAAACTCCTTCAAAGCCCTTCTGAGCGTCGTCATCAACTCTGATGTTGGGCGCCTGGGGCCAGGGTGGCCGCCCTCCTCCAGGCTGCACAGGGCTGCCAGCACCGGCCCCTTGGCTGGGCTGTGGGAGGGCGGTGTGACCACAGGGTCAAGGGCAGAGGAGGGCAGTGAAGGATGAGGGGCAGCCTGAAGGCAGCAGGTGGGTGTGGCGCTGGCCGGGCAGGGAGCTCAGGACAGTTTCATGAGGACAGCTGGAGCCGTGGACGCCTGAGCTTGGAGGCATCGCTGGACTCCTGGTGTTTGGTGGGAAATGCACCCAGGCTGGTTGTTCAGAGGGACTTGCCTTTTTAAACATCCGAGTGTGTGCTAGGGAATGCTGGGCCCAACTAATCCACAAAGTGGTGCGGGGGAAGCTCATTCAGCTTCTCCAGGAGAGCTCTGGGGTGCATGGCCCCCGGCTGTCTCTGAGACAGGTGCATAACACCGAAGATGCTGCAGCCGGGTCTTCCAGGCGATCAGCGCTTGCCGGAGAGCAGGCATTGTTCTGAGCACCGAGTGTGTGTGTGAATAAATTGCATTGTAGACATACATGTGCATGTATATGGTAAGTTTATTTTCTTGGCTCACAGCAGATAGAATTGAGCAGGAATTACAGCTGTCTCCATACACGCTCCCCCCACCCCAGCCACATGCCACACCTTAGTGAACTGACACTGACGCCTTAGCATCACCCAGAGCCCGTGGTTTATCCCAGGGTGCACTCGGCAGTGGACAGTCTCTGGGTTTGGACACACAGAGAATGACCTGTATCCAGAGGGGTTTCCCTGCCCTGCCGGCCTGTTTACTCCTCTCCTCACCTGCCTCTTGGCCATCACAGATGCTTTTACAGTCTCCTTGTTTTTGCCTGTTCTAGAATGTCGTGTTGTTGGATCACACAGGACCTCGCCCTTTCAGATTAGCTTTTTTCACTTATTATATGCCTTTAAGCCTTCTGCACGTAGTTCTCCTGGCTCGACAGCTCATTTCTTCTTGCCACTGGGTAATACTCCATAGTTGGGGTGAACCCACTCACCTACAGAATAAAGTGCATGTGCCCACCCGTGTGTGGGTATCTAGGAGCAAGTGGATAGGCTGCGTGGTCAGTCTGCTCAGGTGTGTGGGCAGCACCGCGCTCTATCCAGCCCCCGCGAGCTGCCGTGACCCCACCTCTCCCAGCACTCGGGTCGCCGGAGGCTGGGGCTGTTCTGCTCAGGGCGCAGGGGTGTCTTGGTTCACTTTCCAGTTCCCTGGGACACAGTGTGGGGCATCTGTGTCCTCCTGACGTGCTCACCCGCGCCTGTCCTCTCTGTGATGGAGTGTTAGAGTGTCGCCTTCTGCATTTAGTTCTGTGGCCCGCTTTTCATCGCTATTTAGGAAGGGTCTGTGGGCCTGTCGAGATCAACTTTTTTTGGTCTGTGGCTGTCCAGTTGCCCAGCGCCTGTTGTTGAGACAGTCCTTGCTCCGTCGTCCAGCCCGTGCTCCTGTATCCAAGCTCAGCCGGCTGCAAGTATGTAAGTGGCCTTTTCCTGGACACTGCCCCCCCAGCCGTCTGTCTGCTGGTCCTCGCCCCCGCCCACCGCGGCGAAGCACAGGTGAGGGCTCAGCTTGTCCGTGGGGCTCCCGGCGCCTCTGCAGGGTCCCGAGGTTGAGCAGCGTCAGTCCCCCGAAGTGTCTTCCTCCGTTGTGTTGGCTGCTCTGGTCACAGAAGCGCCACACGCCATCAGTCTCCTAAGATAACTTGTCGGGGGTGGCTCAGGACGGCGCCGAGTGGACGCATGACGCTGCGAAGGCCTGACCTGCCGTCGTGTCTTCTTATCCGTGAGCGTGGAATCGCTCTCCACTCCTGCCATTCTGCCTGGAGTCCTTTCGTCAGAGTCCTGTGGCTTTCCTCCCGTACATCTTGCGGTATTTTATTAAGCTCGTACCTGAGCGTTTCATTTTGTGCAGCGCTAATGTAAATAATACTGTGTTTTTAATGTCAAATTCCCCTTACTCTTCGCTGGTCTGTAGGAAAACAGTGAGCTCCTGCGTGTCTCTCTGTCCTGCAGCCCTGCTGGGACAAAGTTGCTGCTTTGCTTCCGTTTCGTTGACTCTTGTGGATTTTATACATAGATGATCATTCATCTGCCAACAAAGACGGTTTCAGTTCTTTCTTAACGATCCGTGTGCCTTTCTTGTGCGTTTCCCTCTAGGAAGCTGGAGTTGTCCGTATTCACCTGTTGGTCTCTCCAATTTGGGGGGGAGGGCAGTGGCTTGCCCTGTGACTGGATGGGATGTCCCTTTTGCATCTGAAAAAAGGCCTTTTCAGTTTCTTCCGCTTTTCATTTGTTGTTGGGTTGGAGACTTCTAAGCTGCCTATAGCCGGACCCGAAACTTGAAGCCCATTAGTTATTTTTAACCTCCGTTATCCTCCTAGCACTCTTGTGTGGGATGCACTGTTCTTATTGTCATTTTGCAGCCGAAGAAACTGAGGCGTCTCCAGGTTACATTCTTTCCCAAAGTTCCCTGGCTTCTAAGTGCAGAAACCAGGATTTGAACTTGGGGTCCCTGAGCTGGGGTCCGTGTTCCTCATTCACTGCCTGACGCCAGCGAGAGCGTCCACAGGTCTGGGGGGCCTGTCCTGTGAGAGTGGTCGTGAGCACAGCAATAGCTCCCGTGAGCCCCGACGCGTGTCCCACAGTAGGTGCGGGGGCCACGTCCGCCCTGGGTCCTGGCGCCGTGCTGGTCTGCGCGGTGGGCGAGCCCTGCCCTCCGTTGGTCCAGCTGCCTCAGCGCGACTGTCGTCTCCAGAGGCCACCCTCCCCTTCTGCAATGGAGCTGATCTGCCCCGGCTGCTCTGGACCCCCGCTGTGTGGGGCCAGGTGGGGCTGCACGTGGTGTTGGGACAGGGTCGCTGAGCGTCTGGCTGTGGTGGTTGGTGGTGCTTATTTTTTTGTAGATTTTGGCTTAATGAGATAGGAAATTGATTATGCTCTCTTTCTATTAAGGACAAAAGGAGTTACTCATGTCCTGTGTGTGAAAAGTCTTTTTCAGAAGATCGATTGATAAAGTCACACATCAAGACCAACCATCCCGGTAAGGTTAGGCGTTCAGAGTGGGAGATCAATTTTAAAATGCTTGTTTACTCTGAAGCACAGCCTGGATGCCAGCTGCGCTGAAATGCAAATAAAGAGGGGTGGAATGTGAGTAATTTCAAGGGACCACAAACTGGGGAGCTGCTGTAATTCCGCCCTTCGTCCTGTCCTTCTGCTTGGTCTGTAGACGTGTCTCCCACAGTCTCGGGGGGCGCTCCTCCCACTTTTACTGTGAACCCCAAATGTCTTCAAGTGGGTGACTCCAGTGCGGTCCTGAGGTCGCTCCTGCTCCCCATTCCAGTCCTGCTGTTGCCTGCGTGGTGTTTTATGAAGGGCGAGTTGTCTGGGCTGGCAGGAGTGACCATTCCCTCACTCCAAGGCACAGGCTGTCCGGGACACGGTTCCTTCTCTCTGCCTGTTGTGTCCTGTGTACGGACTAAGTTCTTCCTCAAAACCCGCCCTTGGGGAGCCTTTTTAATGCCTCCAGGCAGGGGGAGGACCCTCCTGTGCCCCCACCTTCCCGGTGCTTTCCCTCCCCCCTAGCCTAGTCACTGGCACAGTCCCAGAGCCTGCAAGGGACGGGGCAGTGCCTCCCCACCCCAGCAGGCTGCGAGCTCAGACTGCAGACCTCAGTGCTGCTGGGGTCCGTGAATGAGTAACAGGTGGGCCAGCCCCAGCCCCCTTTCTGCCGCTTTTTATTTTGTGTCTGCTCCTCATCATTAAGGAACTGACTACCAATTAAAAACGATAAGGAGAAAAATGGAGTACCCTCCCGTAGCCTAGGCCCTGCCAGGGGGGTGCTGGAGCGTGGGTGGGGCAGAGGATCTGGGGCTCTGTCGCTGCCACGGGAGCCGTGTCCCACAGAACCCCTGGCCCCGTGTGAGCCGAAGATGCTCATTTCAACTTTTGCTCATGAACACCTGTAAAGCTTTCCTTTGCCATGATTTAAAGCTATTGTGGGAAATTCCAAATATATACCAAATGCACAGGACGTGTAAGCTACTGCGTGCGCACCTGTCTGCCTCAGCCTCAACAGTCATGCGCAGCTTGCCAGGCGGGCCCACGTATCCACCCGGCTTTTCTCCTAGAATGTTTTATTTTTTTATTTTCATTTTTTTTGAAGATTTATTTATTTATACAGCACTGGGTACAGTCAGAAGCGCGGGAGGGTGAGAGAATTCACCAGAGCCAAAGCGGGGAGCAGAGCAGGCAGAAGGACCGAAGGACACTGCTGAGGGGAGCAGCGGGCGGCAGGAGAGGTCTGTGCGCCATGCGGGACCCTCCTCCGGTGGCCGGGGAGCAGCCGAGGATCGAATCGGCGCCGCGGAGGCTTCGGGCAGCTTCGCAACCCTGCGCTCAACCGCTGTGCCACGGGGAGGGCCCTCTCCTAGACTGTTTTAAAGTGTTTCCTGATACCGTATAACTTCCCCACCCTAAACAGAGTTAACAGTAACTCCTTGTCATCAGCTAGTATTAGCCTATTTGAAGTTTCTCCAGTTGACACGACATTTGTTTGAATCCAGATCTAATCGCCCTGCTCCTAGTTCCTTTGTCGCTTGAGTACCTGGTTTCCACAGGGCCCCCCGCCCCCGCCCCAACTTGCTGGCAGAGCCCCGGCTTCTCTGCAGGTGGTCATGCTCTGCTTCCATCTGCATGTAACAGGTATCAGGCCTGAGCCTTCATTAGCTTCTGATTTACTATTCTGGGCAAAATGCTCCTCGCACGGCAGCACCGCGCCTGCCCCGTGGCATCGCCTAGGCTGATCGGGGCTCAGTCTGGGGCTCGTTCGCTTCGAGACCCAGGTTCCCCGCCTGCCATGACCTCGCCCGCGTCTCTTGCAGAGGTCTCCATGAGCACCATTTCCGAGGTTCTGGGGAGGAGGGTTCAGCTGAAAGGGCTGATTGGAAAGAGAGCCATGAAGTGCCCGTACTGTGATTTCTACTTCATGAAGAACGGCTCGGACCTGCAGCGCCACATCTGGGCCCACGAGGGTGAGTTCATGAGCAGCCCGGCCTTTTCGCGCTGTGTCCCTACTCCCTCCTGGCTGCTCGCACGGGAGTCCAGTGACCCTTTACACACCGGGGGCGGCCTGTGGCCAGCTCACCTCGGTGATGGAGGGTGTGGCTTACTGGGCGGCGTTTGCCAGCACGGGGTGCAGCTCCTCACAGCTCTCGTGGCAGTGGGAGTTGCAGGGGTCGCAGTGCCTCCTGTCCCGGGCTGCACAGCCGCCACGTGTGCCAGCGCTGAGTGCTGGTGGGTGCACGCGTGAAGGGGCAGAGGGCAGCAGTGCTCCGATTCAGCAAGCATGGAGAGTTCTGGTCCCTGGGGTGAAGGAAGACTCCAGAAGGCAGAGGTTGTGTGGACACGGAGCAGTGGAGGCATAGAGGCTGTGCTTTTGGGGTGCTCGTCTGTGCAGACGAGTGTGATGAACCACTCTAGGACCATGGGGAGGTGGAGTCGGGTTCCTCTTGCAGAGAGCAGATGCCTGCTTCTCCCCTAGCCTGAGAGGCTGTGGCCCTCTTGGGCCTGAGGCTTGGCGCCGTGGGGCCAGCTCGGGAAGCTAAGCGGTTGGGCTTAGCCTGCCATGCTGCAGCCGGGAACCATGGTGGCTCCAAGAGGGGGTGAGGGGCTAAGTATTTTCTGCCATATGAGATAGGAATGGCCCATTTTAGGCGACCGGGAAGCAGTGTCAGGAAGGGAGACTGCAGGGTCAGTGAGTAGTGGGACTGACAGCGCGGGAGCCAGGGCGAGCCACGGAGGGAGCGGCCTTCTCATCCACCAGCGCCTGTGCCCCGTGTTAAAGCCTCGGTCTCCCCACTGCAGCGTCTGGGTGGGAGAGGTCAAGGGTGGAAATGCTGGCCTCACCCTGCGTGTTTGCCCACCTCGTGTCCGGGCTCGGCCCCGGTGGCATGACGCGGCTGGTGGTGGCCGCCCTGCCTGCTCTTCCCCTGGCAGCAGGGCAGCGCCGGGCTCCTCTGCTCAGGTCCACCTCAGCCTTTGCTCCTGGGCTTCTCACGGCTGCTGGCAGAGGGGAGGGAGCGAGCTGTCAGCCGACAGTAACAACTGCTGCTGAAATATTCTGCTCCACATCTGACTTGGGGGCCTGGTGCTGTTGGCTTTTGCAGAGGCCCTTAGTTCTTTTAATTTGATTCCGTTTATTTAATTCCGTGGATTTAAAGAACGTCCGCTGTCTAAGCAGCACAAGTTTGTGCCCGCAGGACTCCCTGTCTGTGGGGAGACAGCGAGGGGCTCACGGCAGTGTGCTGGGGATGCCCAGCGAGTGGAGTCATGGGGTGCGGGACCATCCAGGGAAGCCCCTGGGGAGGGCAGGGAAGCTGCGGCAGGAGGTGCCTGGTACCCGGCTGGGAAGGGCATCCAGTCGAGGGATCAGTGGGGGTGATGGGTGTCATGGGAACTGCCCCGCGCCTTGGGGCCACCCTTGCTTGACACAGAGAGGGTGTGGGTGTGGAGACAGCCACAACAACTGTGCGTGCACCTCTTTGCCCTCCCATTGTCGGCAGGTGTGAAACCTTTCAAGTGCTCTCTCTGTGAGTACGCGACCCGCAGCAAGAGCAACCTCAAGGCTCACATGAACCGTCACAGCACTGAGAAAACCCACCTGTGCGACATGTGTGGCAAGAAATTCAAATCCAAAGGCACGTTGAAAAGCCACAAGCTCCTCCACACTGCCGACGGTGAGTGCAGGCTCCGGGCCGGCCGCTAGCCCCTTCCTCTCTGCCTGCGCCTTGTCGCAGGCCTCGCAGGTCTGGAGGAAACTGCATGTCTGCGTGTCTGCCTTCTGAGAAGGCACGGCCATACCTCTCCCATGGCTTGCTACTCCGAGCTCATGCCTGTTAACACCGGGTGCACGTGTGAGTGTGTGTGTGTGAGTTGGGGGTGGGCTTGGGGGAGACATGACTCAGGGAAAGAGGCCTCTCCAGGAGGCCTCGACCGTGAACCTCACGTCCTCTTCAGCCACCACCCCCAGCTGAGCCCTTGTTCCCGGTGGATGCACCTTCCGTCCCAGTGACTCAGGGTGTCCTGAGTATTCAGTCCAAAGTGGAGCTTAGCTTCAAGTGCACACAGTATTTGGGCAGACTTGACCTTGATGGAGTATATTTAAGTGGCTTTCTCATTCTATTCATTCACCTAGTACAAGCTCTCATTATGTGCCACTGTAAAGGTAGGTTCTAGGGCCCCTCTGCCGTCCAGGAGTCTGACCAGTGGGCAGCTGTGGTGGAGGTAAGCATGATGAGGGACGAGCGCCCAGCACCGGGGAGGCTGTAAGTCAGGGTGGGTGGTGGTCCCTGTGGCTAGAAAGCCTTCCTGCATGGGGTGCCATAGAGGAAAAGTAGCAGAATTGCTTTAGGGGGGCAGGCCCTAAGCCTCAAAAGGCCTTTACATTTGCATTCTCCTTCAAAGTGTCAGTTGCGTGAATGACTTGTGAGTTTTCCATGTAGCAAGAGTAATAAACCATAGTCATAAATACATTGTTGTTCTTGCACAACTCATACTGGATGTCCACATACTGGAGCTCACTGTAAAAGCCATAGTGATTGCAACAATGGCCTTTTATTTCTGAGCCAAGAGGGAGATAGAACCATCAGGCCTGCTTTTATTATTAGAATGTTCTGGGGAATTGATCTGTTGTATATGCACTGGTCAGTCTGGGGCACAAATTTGGTTTAACTCAGGAGATTCAGTGGAGAGGCTGACCGCCCAGCTGGGGCGCCTCAGAGTTGAGGATCTGGGACTTGCCTAAGGCTGAACAAAAGCCAGAGCTATAGCGATTCAAAATTATGTAGTGTGCCATAAATTAAAAATTCCGTAATCAGAACAGTTAAAAATATAACGACAGTAAAATAGTTATATTCTGAGTAATGAAAGCATTAAGTCAAGAATTCGTATTATGAATTCTACACCTCCACAAATGATGAGCCTTACCGGTATTTTTTTTTTTTTTTTTTGTGGGACCCTCGCTGGTGGCCGGGGATTGAACTGGCGCTGCAGAGGCTGCGGGCAGCCTCGCAACCCAGCGCTCAACCGCTGCGCCACCGGGGGAGGCCCCTTACCGATAGTTCTTAATGTGGTAGCACATTATTCACTGAAATCTCTAATGAATATAGTGCCAGTGGCTGTCTCCAGAGCCATGGAGGTCTGGACTGTCCCCCGGGCCATGGTGGCAGGGGCAAGAGGACCCACATAGGAAAGGTGTGATGTCCTCAAGCCAGGCTCTGAGACGCGGGCTCCACGCTGAAAGACCTGGAGGAGTTGGGGCGTGTCTAACAAGGAGCCCACAGACCAACTGTGGATGTGGAGGGATGGATAGGGTCCGTGTGAGGAGGGGTTCACAGTGCCACACCCACCTCTTCTGTCTGCCACCTCACTTGCTTCTCTGAGCGATTCCGGAGGAAAGGAATGCAGATGGGCAGTGATGTGCTGTGGTCCGGTGACAGCCCTCGCAGGCCTTGTGGAGCACTTTGCAGTGAGACATGGGAGATTAGCCTGTTTCTCTTCACTTTGTCCCCGATGCATTTGGGAGGGCGCAGTGTTTGTAAAGTCTTATTTCCAGATGCTCAGCAGTCTGGGACTGAGGACCTCGGCCATCAGGTGCGACAAGGAGACGGCTGCCTGGGTGGCCTCGTCCTTGTTGTGCTGATGTGAGACTAGCTCTCCCTGGGTCTCTTCTAGCCTTAATGCTCTGCGGTCTGAAGAGTCAACTGCGGAAATCCCTGAAGTCAGGGAGCGACCGGGTGTGTGCCCTAGTCTGACCCTCCCCCGAGAGCACCAGGCCTTCCCAGGCTGCTGGGACATATCTGTTGTCTCTGGTGACACAGCAGAGTCTCCCGTTTCCAAGGCCACCCTGATGGGGGCCTGGGTCACGGCCCTGGGTCCTGACTGACAAAGCTTTGAAAAAAGTCTGTTCCATCCCTTACCTGATTTTAGGAGTGCTCATTATTTTGTTGATGTCTGAAAGCTTCTTGGATCTCAAGATTTTGTCACATTTGGTAAATATTTATTGCCAACTTGCCATTTGCATTTATATTTTGTTTATGGTATCTTTTTATAGGCAGAAGTTAAATAGCTTGGCATATTTAAATTTATCAATCTTTCCCTTTATGATTTTTTTTCCCTCTGTGATTTCTCTATAATAAAAGCAACTTTTCCCATCTTAGGGGAAAATTCTTTTCCTCAAGTTTTATTTTATGGTTTTATAACATTTCTGACATTTAATAATCTTGAAATTTATATTGACGTATGGTGTGTAGGAGGAATCTTACTTTGTTCCTAAACAATTATCAGTTGACAGCATATTTATAGAGAAATCAATGTTTTTAATTTCATTTTAAAGTGCTAGAATTTCTCAAGATGTTGGGCCATTCTGAGTTTGCTCTGTTTCAGTGATTTTTGTTCTGGTGCAGCCTTTTGTAAGATACTACTTTAATAACTATACATACACATATTACTCCTTTTTTTCTCATTTTTTTAATGTACATCGTAGTTTTCCCTCAGTTAATGATTATTCCTTTGGATAAAGCTTGGAGCTGTTTGGTTAGGTTATGAAGAGCATCTGGCCTCAATGAGTCTTGGGCTCTTGCCTGTAACCATATTATTCACTTTTTTTTTTAAAGATTTATTTATTTATACAAGAACCGGGGTACAGGCCAGAGGCACGGGAGGGTGAGAGGATTCACCAGAGACAGAGCCGAGAACAGAACAGCCAGACTGACGAAATACATTGCTGAGGAGAGCAGCGGGCGCAACAAGAGAGGTCTGCTGCACCATGTGGGACCTCGCCGGCAGGCCGGGATCGAACCAGTGCTGCAGAGGCTGCGGACAGCTTCACAGTGCAGCGCTCAACCGCCTGAGCCACCAGGGAGGCCCACATATTATTCACTTTTATTGAGAAGCAGATGTTGCATTAAGGCTTGCCTGCCCTGATTTGCTTTCAAGGGTATTTACTGTATCAAGAGTAATTCAGTAGGTCGCCCGCGGAGCGGGCCTGTGTGCGGCACAGAGCAGGGAGGGCTGTCACTGCCGCGTGCACTCAGCCTCCATTTCCTCGTCAGTAAACTGGGGATAATCACACCCCGGCCTGAGTCCCTGAGGGTGAAGTGACAGAAGCCTCACCCCGCCGCACTGGGCTGTCTGTGGATGGGCTGCGCTGGAGACCGGCCAAGTGCCTGCCGTGCGGGGGGGGGGGCCCCCACATCCCAGCTCCCTCAGCTCCGCAGGGCAGGGTCGGATGCCTGTGAGTGAGGCGTCACAGAGCACCGGGTGTCTCTAATGAAGTGAAAAGGGATTGAGTAATTACCCTCTCCTTTAGCCGCTTACGAATCTCATTTTTCACATCTGTGAGCCTTTTTAAAGGGACGTAGCCCTGTTTATTCTTTCCTCTTTCCCAAAGGACCTCATTATTGCACCTCAGAGGGGCTAGGTCAGTCTGGGCGAAGGTGGTGTAGAAACCGTTTGCCACTCGATGTCTGTATTGATCTGAAAGGGACCCGATTAAACCCTTGGCATGTCTGCCACCAGGCGTGAGGGTTTATTGCAGAAACAGTGCCACCCCCCCCCACGCCCCTTTGACTTCAAGGGCGTCTGGACACGATGTGCCGTTGAGAGGCCTGTGCAGGAGCCTGCCCACTGAGGCAGGGGGCGTTACAGGCCCCACAGCCTCTGCCTCTGGGTTATATAACCAAACAAGACTCCTCGAAATACCAGAAAGGAAGCGCTTTCAAGTTCAGTGTTAATTCCTTTGGGTTCCCCACCCACCCCCAACTCAGCCTACTCTGACATACTTGAGTTAAGAAGTTTTCTGGTAAAATTTACAAAGAGAAATTATCCAAGCTTCAAGCACTCTTGTCTGGGTTGTAATTAGACAAGTGGAGACTGAGTGTGGAAATCAGGTCTGAGAGGAGGAAGTTCCTTGTATCCCTCACGGCTGCAGCTTATAACAGATCCACGGCTGTACCTTGAAATATTCTGGAGAGGGAGACCTGAGCTCTTTCCCTCTGCAAAGTGAAGTCCCTCCGGGAGGGAGGAGCACACTCACCCGGCTCTTCACTTCAGCAGGCACACGCCTGCAGCCAGGGAGCTCCGGAAAGCGCCCCTGAGCCGCCCTCCTGGTTGGCCTTTCAAGTTCACTGGCTTCACAAGCCTGATCTCTCCTCGATGTCCTTGTCCCTCCAGCAACCCCCTGGATCAAAGGCCGTGGGGCGGGGTGGGCGTGGAGGCAGCTGCAGAATGCGGTTAAGAGTCTGCAGCTTCTCCATGAAGGCGGTGTCTGGCAGAGGGTGCGATAGGGCTGATTCCAGGGCCGGGGTGCCATTTTATTATTATTATTTTTTTTTTTTAATAGAGGAATGCTTTATTTATTTATTTATTTATTTGTGTGTTTTTTGTTTATACATGCACTGGGTACAGTCAGAAGCGCGGGAGGGTGAGAGGATCCCCAGAGCCAGAGCGGGGAGCAGAGCAGGCAGAAGGACTGAAGGACACTGCTGAGGGGAGCCGCGGGCGGCAGGAGAGGTCTGCGCGCCATGTGGGACCCTCCTCCGGTGGCCGGGGAGCAGCCGGGGATCGAACCGGCGCCGCAGAGGCCGCAGGCAGCTTCACAACCCAGCGCTCAACTGCTGCGCCACCGGGGAGGCCCCGGGGTGCCATTTTATATGTGCACCCTGTTGAGGTTACTTGA